TCATACAGCCTATGATTACTAGCAGGACCAAACAGAATCAGAATTCTGACTTTTTTTTCAGAATTCTGAGTTTAAATTGTTACTTTGGTGAATGTTGACATTCTAGAATTCTAACTTTAAACTCAGAATTCTAACTTTAATCTCAGAATCAATCTATCCATCTAACTAAGTTTTCTGTGGTTACTCAAGATAGAAATCTGTGGAATACTTGTAATATACTAGAAAATGTTTGTTTAGCTGACGATTATTTTTTGGGGGCAAAAGCACAAAAACGCATTAAAACAACCTAAAATAATCTTGAGTAGGGTGAAAGAAATCACTATGTGAACTTTTAAACTTGAGAATGTTTTTATTTCATCGACACAAGACAAGAATGTGAACATTTATTGGAAATTCCACCACCATAAAATTTAAGGACATGGCCACTGAAATACAAAGTTTAATTTCTTTAGGTGTAGGCTATACTGACCAACCACCATGTAAAAAAAAAAAAAAAAAAAAAAAAAGGAGGGGGCAGGATAACGGCACGCATTTTCAGACCACCTTGTCAGGAGACAGTATCTTTGTTAAAAGACATTAACCAAAGTTGTTTATATTTTGATGCTAATACTTTTGCACTACTATTTAAAGAGCCCATAGCATGCTATTCCTTGTTTTCTGACTTATCTACAATTTTACAATGGTGAATTAACAAAAAATGGGTGTTCTGTATTTCTAGGCAGAAGCAACTCAATTTATAAAAAGTCTGGCAAACTCTCACTCGTGAGACTTTTTTTCTAATATGAAGTATTATATGATAGTTTAAGGATTTCCTTGAATGGTCATAATCTCCAGGCAGTTGCGCTATCATGTGAGCTTGCTTGACATCTACCAGTGCCATTTTAAAAGCGGGATTTTTCGACTGCACACAGTTTTGTGGATATATTTTATCCCCTGCTGCCTGCACTGTTACCAGAGGATGTGGAGAAAAATACAGGGCCTGAGGTTACTACATGTCCGGGAATGTTGCTATTTTACCTGACTGTGTCTAACCTACGAGCAGCCAGCCTGTGAAGCACCCTGGGGCAGTGACTAGTCAGCTCATTAATGCTGGATTCCCCCAGAGTACAGAACCTGTTTGTTTTGACTCCTTGAGGCCAGTGTGTATGCTGCATGTAATGTGTTGGATTGTAACGATCCATGATGTTACCATTAGTGCAACACTACCTGTTGGAATTTATTTCACTATATATATGTGGTCATGTGGGGGAAGACGCAGGGACCAGTGGTTTGATTTACCAACCTTGGAGCTACTTGAAAGAGAGTGATGTTGCACTACTCAGTGGAACTAAAGGGTAAGTTAAAAAAAACAAACTGGTTGCATGTATGTTAATATATTGTTTCTGTAGAGAATTGCTGTAAGGCTGAAGACATACCATGTCTGCACTATGCAAATTAAAATATGGGATTTCTCAATCACCCACTTTTAGTGTTATCAATCACTTTTCAAATGTACATATACCATTGTTAACCTATCCATGGAGAAGAAATTCAAATTAATTAATGAATGTTGTTGTGGTTCATGGTGCTGTCCACTTTCATATTCTGGCTCCATCGTGTCAGGTAGGATTTGAGGTATTGTCATTGTCGAAAACGTAGCTTATTTGTCAAAGTTTTTTGTTTATGTTCCTGACCGGAAGAGTTGTGCGCGTTCACGACCTATCCTTTCATTTTAAAGAGGTGGCTCTCCTTGGGTTCTCTCAAAATAATTACGGTCTATTTGGAGTCATGATAGGTGCAAAGATAATCTAGAGGTACCCAAGATTAAACATTAAATTGGTGGAAATGAGCATGCCATGTGCACTTTAAACACTGTAACACAAGACAGAAAAACGTTAGCATGTACAGCAGTTGAGTTAACGCTAAAGCTTGCTAGCATAACAAGCAATCTATGTTTTAATTAGCTGTTACCTAGTAGTTGTGCACAAACCTCTCATACAAGAATTTATATACCTTGTTTTGTTTTGTTTATTTAACCGAGGAATGAGGTTCGTGGACAGAGAACCCAAAATAACTTTTATCCTCTTTCAAGGCATGACCGCGTCAGCCAGGGCAAACCGGAAATTGTTTTACACGTTGCACTTCTCTTCCTGGTTTATGTGGAAAAAGTTCTATAATCAACGCCAATACACATCCTGTATGGGTGTAAGAGTGAAGGCAAGCGTACAAGGTCATCAGGTGGGCTTCCACTCATTAACTGATGTTATTTAACTGATGAATTGGGCCCACGACACTGAGAAGATTCAAAAGTGTTTACCAGCGTCCCAGAACGACCCTCCTCTTTGCCTCCACCCAAACACCCAACGCACTCCTTCATTAACATTTACTACTCTCTTAATATTTAAGGTTGTCTGTTAACTGTTACCAAAAATTAGGCCACAGCAAACACCAACAAGCCCAGCAAACATTTCAACTAAGCTAACTGCTAACCAAAGCCGTTAAGATACTGTAGATATCATTCTGCTAACGTGCTAACAACGTTAATATTCAATCCTGGCTAACACTAGATAAAGTAGCCCACCTGAACTAGAAAATATAACCTACAGTTAGACAACCACATTACAGTGAAGCACCTGCGCGCTGCATAACATGCGTACAGAACGCAGCACATTAAATATTTACTGTGATTTTCTATAATTTTCTAATGCTAAGGTTACTCACCTGTGTAGCAGAAACACCGGCGCCATCTTCCATCTTGAAATTCTACAACTAAACTTTCAGGACCCTTCTTCTTACGAGTTTTACGGCAGCTGGCATCCTTGATATTGCAATGCTGCCTCCTACTGGATTCGAGCTTCTTTAGTGTTCATTCTTTTCTAAATTGTGTGTGCAGTCCCATAGCTCTCAAAATGGAGGACCTACAGCGAGACCAATGTGGAAAAACCTGGCTGCCCTCTGATTGGACAGTTCGACTCTGCTCTGTGATTGGATTGAAACTGTCCAATCAGATCTAGGTGTAAAAGCAATTAAAACCATTCATGTTTTCTAAATTGAGTTGTACCTGCAGTTTGCTGCTTTCTGTCTGTACATAGTAAATAGTCACAGGTATTCACAAACACCTGTAACTATTTATAAGTAATGTGTACAAATCTTTTTACACATGCTCAAATATTGCCCTAGTAAGTCGTGGCCACAACTTAGGGGAGTTTTTTTTTCTCTGCCCTGTAGATCCCCAAGAAGTGATATAAGGATTAATACATTCTTTATAGCAAGCCTTGGATCATAATAATCAGGCATAGTGCGTACATGTGTATATGTTCATGCATTTGTGTACCTATGTGCAAATGTATGTGCTCCTGTGTATAAATGTCATTTCTATACCCTGGGATATAATTGTGTGCACGTGTTCACAGTATGGTCTGTTTTCTTTGTAGTACAAGAAACAAAACTTTTTCTTGACTGTGCAGGTTTATAGTCAAGGCACTAACTGCTTGTTGGTTATTTAGCAGGGAGTTTTGTGTGTTGGAGCTTTTTGTATTCATGTCTCGAAACACAACTAGGGCAGGGAAAAAAGAGAAGATGGGGCAGCTCTAATTAAAGCCAAAAGAAGAGCTTCATCTGCTGTGAACTCACAACTAGAGGCCACAGCAAATCAATGAACAGCCAGCACTGTCATCATCAGCAACAGCTCCCGATCAGAGCAATTGGAGGAGAACAAAAAGAAATGAGAAAAACTCTACCAGGAAGCTCCTACCACCTATGCAGAGCAAGAGAAAGTGGGGGAGAGTGAGAAAAATACAGAGAGCAAGATTGTGAGCCATGGTTGGAGCTATTGTGAAACACTAGAGATTTATTATATCTTAGTTTAGGGCAGGTAATTTTGTAATCATCACCCAAGACATCTAAACAAAGGTGCAATTGTATGAATAGTGCCTGAGATCAGAATGATCTGATGACCCTTTTAAAAGATATAAATTTTTGTTGGCTTTTGCGAGAGGATCAAAATGCTACATATGGTGAGTTCCAGTAGTAAATGTTCCTGGCAATATAGTTGTTAGAGCAAGAGCAGATTTAGACTATTGAACCCTGTAAGCTGTATCAGAGCTCTCCTGTTTATGTGGACTGTGCCTCTTGGCCAGCAAGCCAAGGAATGCTGGATCAGATTCTTGGGCAAACACCAGCACATAAATAACATGTTCTCATGGCATTAGCATTCCAAATGTTTTTCAAGATGAATGTGAATGCAACTATTTTTGTCTTATAACCCGCTCTCTCAGATAACTCTCTTTGAATAAATGAATTTTGACAAGGGCAATCTGCATACAAAAACACAGCAGGTTTAGAGGCAGCGACTGGTCCAGCGGTGAGGGCCTCTGAAGCCGTCCCTGAATCTTTTCATTCACTGCCTGTTCCTTACAGACTTATGGTTCTTTAAATGGCTGCCTTTGTTTATCCCATGTTCACACTGGAGGCTAGTATGGTGGTGAGGCATACAGCTGCTTCTGGTTGCCACCTGCACATCTCTCTGCCTGCTAAATTTCACGGAGAAACATTAGAAAGATCTTCTGCACAGATGGTGAAGAAAGCCAGAAAGACAAGCACTTTCATTGTGTTTTTTGGTGGGTGACTTCTATTTTACTAATGTTATATCCTCAACTTTGTAATTAAAACGTTTCTGATAATCTGTGCATGTGGCCCATCTTCCTCTCTTAATGCTTCCAGTGTATGTATGTATAAATAACTTAGTTTAACAGAAGGATCGGAAGCAGTTTTTAGTAATAATTAGTTGATAATTTTTAATTATAAACTATTTAAGCAAATATTTATTAAAAAATATGCATCACAGTTTCTGCTCAATCTGAAATCTCAGCAAATATCTGCTCTAATTTCTCGACATACTCCATAATTATAATGCCACATTATTATTATGAAGACTTGAGAATATTACAGAGGGGTATTTCCCTCATGCTTATTTAGGTCTGTATTATGCCATAAAGGTGATGATGGTCTGCTTCTAGTCCTCCCTCTGTACTGTAGCCATTTCCCAAAGTGAGGGCAAGGCTGCTTAATTGATCAGTAAGCTCATGATAGCTGTCAATCTACAGTACATACCAACATCAAGCTGTTCTAAAACAGCACTATAAGTTGTGTTCATTATTTTTTCTTTCCAAATATTTTCCTTCAGAAAGTTTTTCCCTTAAATTGCTTCTTGTAGCCTGACTTCACTTCTTTAAGGCACAATGAAAACATGATTACCTGGAAGTTCTCCTGGAGCATCAGCACAAGTCTGGAGATGAACTCTCTGTGTCCAACCCTATTGGTGGGGTGGACTAAACCTTTTGGGGGGGGGGGGCGAGCTCCCGAGAGGCTCAATGTAGCCCAAGCTTTTACTAAGCTTTTAATTCCAGGCGTCTCGAGGGTTCTCCCCTGGTTGGGGCCTAATAGTTAGTTCTACTATTCCCCCTAGTATGTAGCCTCTGGCTCCAACTTCACAGACTGTGAAGTGTGCGGATTTTATTTCCAAAAGGTTTGGCCCCACTTGGTTAGTTTTAAATTCTTATATTTGTTTTTTGTTTTTTTAAATTATTAAACAGTGTGAACAATAACAAATTATCACTGCCATCTTTCAAATAGGAATCCTACATACATTTTGCCGTCAGTAACAAGTGAATGCCATCTATATTGTATGTTTGACTTCCAATGACAAAAATACAACCCCAGTAGTTATATCTGAAGGTGACATTACACTGTTACCCATAGGAGCAGATTGCTGGATGGTAACTATATGTATTAATAAACTCACATGTTTGAAAGTGCTCAGGAACAAGGCACTGACTGTGTCAGTTATTCCAGGGCTCTTTTATTTCAAACAGAGTGCAATGTTTCTGAATAATACAGTACTTCACTGATTAATATCTGACATATTTTGTAGTGTAATTTTGGGGGTGGCAATTCAAGCCATACAATAGCAGCCACTCTCTCTGCAGTGATTTCTTGTCTTCTGCCAAATATGCAGACAAACTTACTAACACCCTTTGTTTCATTCTGCATAAACCTTGCATTCTGTTATTGGCACTCCACTCATCATCCCATGTAATGCTGGTGGGCATATAGAGCAGGCTTTCAAAGCAGTGCCATCTCCATATGTTTACTACGATAATCTTTTATCTGCCATCCCTGACTCTGGTTCATTCCCTTCCTTGCCTGTGGCAATAATTTTATTTCTGCATCAATTAACACAGTGATTAATACAACAAGCAAACAGTTTAGAGGTAATGGCACACAATTAACATCTTTCCCCATCATAAAGGGTATGCTAAATACTCACACCACCACTTTCTCTGCCTGGAATAGAGAGAAGTGTTTAGTCCCTAATTCATATGCTCTGGGATGGAAGTTGAGTAAGCCTGGCTTTGTGCTATGCCATCACCACATTAATCTAATTACAGATAGCTGAAAATGAGTTTTGCAAATCAGGCCTGTGTGTGACACCCCCACACCACCCCCACTCCTTTGCTTTTCAATCCACTTCCATCGTGCAAGTGCCAACCCACTCTTCAAATGCCAACATCACTGGTGAAAAGGCGCCATTTACTCGCTTTGTATCCAAACTTGCTACTGACTTGCTTTTACCACCTACCCCGACTCTTTTCTCTTTTTCTGTTTTCTAATTACAAATCCAGTGGCACCAGGAGGGTGTGCATGGGTAAATAGAGCTGTAGGGGCTTGTCATGTGTGTAGAAGTGGAGCGAAGTCCTCAGAGCGCTGAGGGATGAGATGATTTGCTGTGATTGACAGCTACCTTGAGACTGGCCTGATGGAGTTGTCAAAGCTGTATGCTAACAGCCTGTTTCCTTACCACTGCAGATGTACTCTGCTCTGCTGTACTGCACACACACACACATACTGTGTTTTCAAGCATTAGGCACTCATGGGAACTCAAATTATTTATTAGGACAATGGTTTCTAAATGCAATTTGAGAAGAGGCAGTCAGATTTCAAATCGAATTTTGCTTTCAGGGTTATTCTAGTATAAACAAGCATTTTGTACTGACAGTTTCACACTGCCACCTCTTCCATATCACAGTCTTGTTTTTTCTGCAAAGCCAAGACAGAGATGTATTTGAGGGCGCCGTCTTGGGCTAACACTGGGTGTGTGAATACAATGGCAATCTTACATCTGGGAACTCAGTGGGAAAACTATCCCATTTCTCACTTGTGCTGTTAGAAGAGGGTGTTCATTTTTACAAGGTGGATACTGTTACTACGAAATGAAGTTGTGCAAAATTCCCTGTGAAAATCTGGTTATGAGCGTTAGCCATGGTTTTGACTGGTACTATTCATCACATGGGTCCACTGAGAGTCAGCAGAGCAAGTTTGTTTTTGGTGGGCTGAATCACTTCCCACCTTTAGTAAATGTACCAAGAGATTTAAAAAAATTGTCATTAAAGACAGTTACAGTTTTTAAAAACCCAAACTTAATTATTGTTTATACAAATGTAGTCTTTTTTTCTGTAACTGTACAGAAGGGAAAGTAAAATGTGTTTTTATCACATGTAAAACAGATTTTTGCCCATAAATTAAGATGTATATGTTTCCTTTGCGGGGAAATGGGCATAATTTTGCTGGGATGTTTTTGTTAAGTTTTTACATGGTATGCAGGCATTCTTATATATGACTATGTCTGTATCTTTAAAGAATAGCAGCAAAACCAAGCTCAGAGGCTCTTCTCTAGTACAGCTCAGATTTACAGGGTATAAAATGACCAGTCTTACTCTGTACTTGGCCCCGGATTTCTCCTCTGACCCTAAGTCTTTTTTTCTTTCTATTTTGTTTTCCCTCGCATGTCGTTCTCCGTGCTATTCATTTCAGGAACAAAAGCTAAGTGTTTAGTTGTGAGCCAGATCAAGGGCCTGCTTCTTCCTCCCAGGAAAAGGTGGAAT